TTAGTTTAAGAGAGGGATGAGTGGCTTGTAAAGGTTAACTCCTGAACCTATTAAAAGGAGAAAATAGTTGTAAGGGTAGTTGATTTTCGTCTATTGGAAAGAAGATCGGTAGTGAAAGTCGATGGCCTTAATAGAGGAGGAATCGGAAGTGGATGTAAGTTACGATGATTGAACCATTAAAAAATTAATGTGTCTCTCTTTCTCTGCTTGTTTACTTATTTTGTAACCGCTTTACCTATTTATTACTACTACTGTAAATGTTTTAAGTATAAATATCTTTTCGATATAATTTTATCGAATGAGATTTTCAAATTGATGCAACTTTTATAAAAACACTAATTCATCCCATCTTAGTGTCGACTTAGTCCTAACAAAGATCCGATTGAGAGACAAATCAAAATAATCATCGAGGGACTAATCTCATGTGATGATAGATCATTAGCTATAAGGGCATATACTATATTAATGTTGTTAAAAAGGTACTAGCTCAATAGAGATATGAAATAACCTTCGAAGAAGAATAATCGAAACCCCTTGATCTAGATCATGGTGATATTTTAGTCATGTTAGTTCGAATCGCTAATGCTAGGATGAAAAGATTCATGATCAAAATAGATAACTCCACCGACATCCTTTACATCTATGCTTTCTAAATATGGGCTTAATTGACAAAGACCTTACTCCTATGACATCTATATTAATGAGCTTTACCGGTAACTCCATCTCATCCCATTGATGAGTATCATTGTCAAAGAAACTAACATCAACTACCCAACAACTAGATCTTCGAAATGACACTAAGTCTTTTCCCCCAATCGTAAGTCGGGCAAGCCACTAATACAAGTACCCTCGTTCCCCATCACCCTGATACACACTCCCTGAAGACAAAATGTCAAAGCTCATCAAATTTCTCTGCCTCAATGCTGATGGTGAAATGGTCCCAAGGACATGTTTGGAATCAATTCCACCATGGTACAACACTGCCTCAAAATTGATCCATCTTATCCCCAAGCACTTCATGGTTGAATGACAAGGGGCAATTGAGTAGAAGATAGCTAAGCTCCTGGAGACTGATTTTGTACACGAGCTCCGTTGCTTGGCTCACAAATGTTATATTTATTATAAAAAAATAAAGAATATATATTAAATATATCAATCTTAATAAAGTTTGTCCGAAAGACAACTATCCAATCGATCAACTAGTCAATGCCATGTCAAACATAAATTCTTTACCTTCGTAGATATATTTTCAAGATATAATCAAGTAAAAATAACACTAATAGACAAAGTTATTAACCCCTTCATTATAAAGAGGGGACTTGCAATCTTTTGAATTAAAGAATATAGAAATTATATATATATATATATATATATATATATATATATATATATATATATATGGATGATATGTAGGTCAAAAGTACAAGAATCAATATGCATCTAATCAACCGTAAATTTCTCAAATCCTAACAAATATACATTTGTACAAGTAAATTTCTCGTATTCATAATCAACTAAAAATGAATAGACCGTTCAATCAACGGTAAGTGTCTCTCCTTTGTTTTTGAAGCCTTAGATAATCCAAAAAACTAATTAAAGCAAACACAATCCGTGCCAAACTACGTTTGACCAATTAAAAAAATATTTTGCCTCTCCTCCACAACTTTCAGGTCCAAAGCCAGCATAGGAGCTCTACCCAAAAATTCAAAGGCAAAGATTCAAAGACCAATCTATTATGTCAGCTATATATTGAAGAACATCGAGCAACGCTACCCAAAAATTTGAAAGTTTACTTATGCCATTATACTAGTTGCAAGGAAGCTACAATCTTACTTCCAATCTCACACCATCATGGTTATGATAAATTAATCACTTCACCAAGTTTTCCAAGTTCATATTGTAGGAAGACTCCTCAAATGGTCAAACTAAGGGAGTTCGGTATTAGTTGTTTAGAGCCCAATTCAAGCAGAGCCTCGTGAAATGAAGTTATAGATTTTGCATGTTGATGGGTCAAGTTCGGGAGCAGAGCTTATCCTACAAGTCCTTGATGGATTAACTTTTGAATATACTTATCGGTTCAGATTCTAAGCCACCAACAATAAAGTTGAGTATTTAATCTCTCCTCACAAGTCTTTGCCTTGTCCAAAAGTTCTTCATAACCCATCTAATAGCCTATAGTGACTCCAAGTTTGGTCATAAATTCAGTTATTAGAGAATATACGATCGAGATGTGACCAATCATCTTCCACCTCTTCCTCAAAATCATCAGCCAAATCAAAACTTGTGAGGGCATTGTACCTATTAGAGGTTGTCATGTCTACGATATTATTTGTCATGATAGATAAGTGCATAGGCAAATCAATAGTAGCATCGTTTCCTGTGATATGCCCGATCTCACATGTGATTGGATAGGAATGAGAAGAAAAATATTGCCAGGGCGTAGGTGGCACAATGATCCTTGGCAACATATCACAGAGAGTTGTTAAAGTTGGCAAAAGTCGACACCTTTGACATAGTTTGCATAAAAACAACTGATATAGATAGTAGAACCAATATCTTGTACAGTTGACACACAAGTAGACAAAGGGGCCATTGTCTAATTCGAGATCTATCTAATAGTGTGTTGTTTCCTATAGTTCTAATAGCATATTCAAAAATATTAAAAGTGAGTATCTCTCCAATGGTCAATTATACTCTAGCATGACAATAAAGTCTTTAGCATTATTAATATAGGATATCAAGAAAGTTAGAATCAATAGAAACCTCAATGCATACTCATGCATATCTAATGTGTTTCTTAATATCGGTGAGCGTCTATAAATAAAAGTCTCTTAATACCGTCAGCAATAATATTGATAAACTTAAGCATCTAAAGAAAAAAAGAGGAAGATTGAAAATTTTTATATAGATTAGGATAATAGAGAAATTAATTTCTCCAAATGAAAGTTATGATGCCAAGATTTAAGGATAAAAAATTTATTATGAATCTATCATGGGGATAATTACATATTACCCCATATAGTTAACTATAATTGATATTTTAGTTTTTATGATTTAAAAAGTAATACTGAGGTTTTTATACTTAAGTACTTGACATATCCTTATATGTGTATTTTTGCACATGAAGTATTCGATCAGAATTAAACAAAGTATTTGAAATATCAAACATATCTTAAGATATTCTCTTTTATTGGATGTATCTACGTACTCAACGCACTCCAAGACATCCCCTTTTTTATATGATAAGTTTATCTAAAATTAAAAATTATCTGAAGTGCCTTACACATCGTAAGGCTTCCTCTTTTTGTGCATGATACATGCAACTAAAAATTATCTTAAGCATTCAATTCAATACTCCTAAGGCATCTCTTTTTGTGCAATGCATCCATTTAAGACTAAGAAGTATCAAAAGTGTTTGATGCATCTCAAGATATCCCATTTTGCATGCGATGTATTTGCTTACAATTGAAAAACATACAAAATGTCCTATGCATCCTAAGGTATTATATGATGTGCTTATCTTGGCCAAATAAGTGTATAAAGTATCCAGCATATCTTAAATTATCTTTTGTTTATAACACGTTCACCTAAAATAAGAAAGGAATTAAAATATAACTTAGTCATTTTTTAATATAGGTAATAGTGATCAAGATACTAAATATGACATTATACTTCAATATGACAAAAATAATGAGGGTGCAAATGATATGATTATTATTTTATACCTATTATAGTTACATGTGCAGTCCAATTAGCACCTAACTGATATGTCACATCAATTAGACAAAGTACTTATTAGAGAATATTTTTTTATTAAATCAAGAATTAAAAGAATGATGGTATATAAAATAATCTTCTTAATCACACAAGAAGAAAAGAAAACTAAACAACAGTACGTATAAACCGTTAGTGCAATCTTTTATTAAAACGAGAAACATGATACAATCATCTTTCATCCTTTGAATTGAAATTGGACAAGGGACATGAGATATGAGCATTCGTGAAAATTTTTTATTCATCCAATTCCTCAATAATTAATAACTCTACTTTTTCAAACACAACACAACAGTATTTGAAACATGGGTCGGTTGAGTCAATTTTGTGAAGTGAAATTGGCAATCAAAACTTACCTATTAGATGGATGAACGTTTGAATGATGTCGTGGATTGGCCGTAAATCCTCTGACTAGTAGAATTAGAAAATCACCCTATTATGATTTCATATCTATCTATTATTATAAGAGCCGAATTCCTTAAAAATGTGGATTCATAATTTTACCTTTATATTAATAAAAAAAATTAAATATTACATGTCTCACCCATTTCACTATATATGTGTTTTTCATGAAATAGTTTTAGAATTGAAGATGTGTTAGGATGAGTGGGCGTGCTACTTGCTTGGCAAATGATTTTGACCTTTAGTTGAGGTGGTAATTGGATTTATTTATTGTGGACAAAAGCAATGTGTAAAAACTCCATGGGCTTGTTTATTCTTGTTCTTTGTTGCCCCTTCTGACCCCCTGTGGTTTGTTTTTGACGGGCGGAGAGATGACGTGAAACTTGGGATCATTGGACTAATTTTGGACGCTACTCACTCATTTGTGCCAAAAGATGATGAAGTGGGGTGTTAGCCTGTTGCATTTTGAGTTGACTACGTAAGGATCCCACCCTAGGAATGTTCCATCCTTGTGGGTCCTGCGTGCTAGCGTGTCTTCGTGGTGTCGTCGATCCACCACGTGGATCCGTCCCGCTCTCCGTTACTGATAAATTCCTTCGGCCGTGCGTAAGATTGACCGAGCGGGATTTGGTCGTCGGATGAGCCAAAACCCACCCCCGCGTCTGACTCGACTCCGGATCCAAAATCATCCGATTTGGGTCCGGATGTTGGAAATCAGATCCGCTCGAGTTCGACATCTGAACCCACTCAAAGTGACGTCTCTCTCTCTCTCTCTATATGTATATATATGCGCACCGCATGCCGCTGGTCTGGCCGCCCTCCCTCTTCTCTCTCTGCTTGCGGGCTGAAAACGTAATACGAATAGTATAATGATGACGGATGAGGCCAACCGGGATGGTGACGACGAAGTGGTCGCCGGCAACGCAGGAGGCATGGGCGGCGAGCCGGCGGTGTTCCAGGGGACGGATTACTCCCTTCTTCAGACCATCGTCGCCCTCATCCTCTGGCTCGGCGCCATCCACTTGAACGTCGCCCTGGTCCTCGTCGCCCTCCTCTTTCTCCCCGCTCGCCTCGCCGCCGCGTTCGTCTTTCTCATCCCTTTTCTGTCTTCTCCTTGTCCTTTTTCTATTTGCGCTTCTTATTTTTTATAATCTTTTTTATTGCAGGGTTTTTGGGTTTCTCCTCTTCTTCATGGTGATTCCTCTCAATGATAGGAATAGATTGGGGCGCAGATTGTCAAGGTACCATTTTGCTCCCTATCAATTTCTTGTGCTTTGGTCTTGATTTGCCCTTAATTATTTTTCCGTTAATTTGTCCCCCATTGCTGGCTGCTTTTTCCCTTCGGATGAGAAAAAAAAAAAAGGTATATTTGCAAATCTGCGTGTGGGTATTTTCCCATCACCCTTCATGTGGAGGACATCACGGCATTCGATTCAGACCAAGCATACGGTGAGATATTTTGCTCTTTTATTTGGCGTATACTCGCTCGGACTATCAGCAGATTCCACTTTGATTGTGATTCGTCTGACAACTAGCTTAAACATGAGCTTTAGTTTTCTTGTGAATAGTTCCTCCTTTAAAAAAGAATACTGAGGAACTAGTTAGTTTGGATATTGTTGTAAAGCAGCTCAATGAATGAAACATTTGCAGTGTTTGGTTACGAGCCGCACTCAGTGTTACCCATAGCTCTTTGTGCTCTTGCCGACCATGCAGGATTCATGCCGCTGCCCAAGATCAAGGTTCTCGCGAGCAGTGCTGTAAGGTTTCCTGATTCCCGGTCATTTTCTTAATTAAAGTTTCATACCTTTTTAATCTTCATCGTTTCTTTTAAAGATTCCCTTAATTCTTGCTCTGTATGTATGATGATTGTGTCAGGTCTTCTACACCCCCTTTCTGAGGCAGATTTGGACATGGATGGGATTAATTCCTGCATCAAGAAAGAACTTTTATGAGTATTTAGAAGCTGGGTACAGTTGCATCATCGTGCCTGGTGGTGTGCAGGAGACATTTCATTTGAACCGCGACACTGAGGTCCGTCTTTTGCACCAGTAATCTATTTAATGGATTTTTTGCTCAATTGCACTTAGTAATTTAATTCAATAAATGACATTTAGCTGGTTCATAATGTTCTGATAAAAGAATATGTCTAGGATTTTGATGCTTAGTGTGGAATTGGTTTATATTTGCTGAAATAAATAGCCTTTGAGAATGATGATGTACAGTTTACAAATAGTTGGATTTGGCTTTTCTGAAATGTTTAATTATGCTCGCATTGTTAGTTTGCATTTCTGTTCCCATTCTATTGATACCACAAAGGCAATCTTAGTAGGCTTGGGACTTATGTGTATGGTTCAAGCATTTTAATCTTACATCAGGAAGCAAAATTATTCTTTTAGAACTACCACAAATTTATACTTAATTTCTGGTGGGTGTGGCCAAATGGAAAGAGAGTTCATCTTATCTATTATTAAAGCAAACAACATCATTAGATGGTTTTTTCTTGCAAAACTAGAGTAGGAAACCTATAGCCAGTTTTGACACCACAGGCCAGTTAACTGTCTCAGAGAATCTTGTAGCTTTCATACGTATTCTTGAACTTTGTTGTTAGCTCATGCTATATCATTCATTAGATGCTAAGTTTCATGACACATATTAGTGTCAGTAGGATTAATTATTTTACAAAGTGTTGGTCAAAAACTTGTTTGCTACAAGCTTGAATTCTTGTTTAATTAACATGCATGACCCAATTTGAGCATCCATAAACCAGTGTATATAAGCATTTGATGAAGTAGACAAGACCATGTACTGGATACAATTTGCATTCTAGTTCGAGAGGTGGATTTTTTTTGACAAGTTTAATATTTATAGTGCAATTTTTTCAGAAAGAAATACATCATTTACACAATTGACAGATAAGTCCAATGTTTTCATGTTCGGTTTGGTGCATTTAAAAGCATCCAACTAGAAATACATGATGTTTGGGCTTTTGGATGGTTGATCAACACTATTGGAAATTATCTAATGTATACAAAGAAGTGAATCGTGTATCGTAACAACACAAAAATATTTCTTAAATTATAAACTATTGATCTTTATGTGATCAGCATTGACATGTAGAGAGTGAGAGAGAGAGAAGATCAACTTGGATGCTGTTGATCATAACTCAAATAAAAATATTTATTATGCTGTTGTTCTCATTCATTTTAGGATTGCTTAATGAATGATTAAGAGATCACAGAAAGCATCAAACTTTTAGCTGTTCTTCAATCTAGTTACACTAGAAATTGTCCAATGGTTCCTCATTCAAGGTCCCTTGTCATTCTTAAATGGGGCATATTTTGAGAAAGGTTTTGAGTGCAACTTAATTCGACTTGCTTCGTGGTTCTTTGGATCAGATATATGTCACGTAGGAAAAAATGATAAGCATCAAAGTGGCAAACCTGTTGTGTAGATCTTGAAGAGTTAAAGATTGGGTTTCTTGCCAAAATGCACTAGTACGACTCAACTAGGGCTTATAAGGTAAGTTATATTTATAGCTGATGACCTGTTATTTTGTCAAGACACCAGACGGAGTATTCTCGTTTCTTGGTTAATTTTGTGGTTATGGTAACTTTTTATGGGATTTGTACATTGGATTTGTATTTCCTTGATCACACTCCTTGTGTCATGCTGTGGTTGAGTGATGTTAGTTTGGTTAGGTTATGAAAGACCAGAGCCTTGAACATTACTATCATAAAAGTCTCACACTTTATTTAATCATGTGTCTATATATGGCATCAACTATCAAAGTAACTTGCCTTAGCTTGTGGAATTGTGTTTTCCAGTGGGAAAAATTAATTCGTGATATGATCTGGTCTCATTTCTGTTCTTTTGTGAATTATTCGATTGCACAGAATACAGTTTGATCACAGTCTAGATTATATCATGCCATTGTTCCAATAAGTTACTTAAAGCGACATGGTGCAGCTTGGTTAACTAGTTGTATTCACGATCTTATACTGATGGATCAGTGTACAGTCTCCATTGAACTTGATCATGATTGTCTTGGCATGATTCTAGAGCATCACAGGGTAATTAGGAATCTGGCTGATTGCTTATGTGAGCTTGATTCAGTGTTGAAATGAGTTTGTTGTTAGCAATGACTTAAAATGATAAGACTTTGTGATGTAGGTGGGGTTTGTGATTATGCCACGGTGCTGTTATTACATTTACTAAAGCATGTTCTGATATGTGGATGAACCTGAATGCAGTATAAGATCGTGATCCATATCCATATATCTTGAGTTTCCTATATATCAGATATCTGAAGATGCCACATATGTAATGTTGTCACCTTTTATGAGTTGTACTCTTCTCCAAATGCTTACAGTGTTGTCTGCAAAAAGCTTTCCATGTTATTGTTTGTATATTTTATTTGGATTTTGAAGACAAGCAATCAGCCAAACATTAACAAGTTTTGGCTGGCTATTAGGTTGCTTTCCTTAAAACAAGAAAAGGATTTGTGCGAATTGCCATGGAGACAGGCCGACCTATAGTACCTGTGTTCTGCTTTGGTCAGGTAAAGGTTTGAATTTCTTTACTGATATCAGCATCAAATCTTAAAGCTACAAGTAAATTTAGGTTCATGATGGAGAGATCTTATTTTGATAGAATTAGCTGCTAAGCTACATGCTGTGCTGAAAGACTGTAGAGCGATCTGTGGTCTCATGCTTGCATTCTTATGGGCATGATTACCTCTAAATATGCATGCTTTAAGTACCAAGCATATAAAAGCCTCATCTTTCTTCCTTTGCTGGTGGCCAGAGTTATGTTTACCAGTGGTGGAAGCCCGGTGGGAATTTATTTGTTCAGATCGCTCGAGTGGTAAAGTTTACTCCGATAGTCTTCTGGGGAAGATTTGGGTACCTAACAAATCCCTCATTTGCCTTATTTATGCCAGTCAAATGATAGCCCTTCTTAACATATGTTGTCAATTGTTTTTCTTGGTGACCTGCTACCATTAAGTTCTGGTTCATGCTTTGTGATAACTTGTTCACGTGTTATGTAGAACCCCTATACCATTTCGGCATCCATTGCATGTCGTGGTTGGAAGGCCCATTGAGTTGATGAAAAATCAGGAACCCAGTGCAGATGAGGTGAATAAAAAGCATATTCTTTCTTCAATAAGTAATCTGTGTGCTTAGGTCTGACTTCTTTAATATAAGAACCTCAGTGCTTATGTTGAAGTGATATGTTCTGTCGAGTCATAAGTTTTACAGTTCTCCACCTAATCCACTAGTTACTATCACAAAATTGCTTAAAGTTCGTTTCTGTTTCTTTTTTGGGTTTTGCCAGGTCAACGAGGTTCACGCTCAGTTTGTTGATGCCCTCCAAGAGCTCTTCGAGAAGTACAAGAGCAGATTTGGTTACCCCGATCTCCAACTCAGAATTCTATGACATATGCATCTTGCTTGCCTTGGATCACACCTGTGGTTGGTGAACCTGAAATTGATCTTTAGAGAAAGTGACAGCCTGATATCACATTAGTATCATACTATATGTTGTGATGCTCAGATATTATTTTATACTTTGGTTCTCAAGGGTAACAGAACAGGATGGATGGGTTTGAAGATTGGATGTAACACAGTCGTGGTGGTCAATTGTATAAAATGCCGAGACTAGAGCGGTCTTACCGAGTATAAAAATAAAGGTTTATAATGGAAAGTTTATTAGTTGGTTGGTGTTTTTATTTTTTTTGCTGAAAATATTCTCATGGCAGTCTCTGAGCGTAGTGATATGGCACCTCATCATTATTCTTTAAAAAGATTATACATGATATGAAATAGTTTTCTCTTTCTCAAAGGAAAAGGGTAACTTTGTTGTTGTTCTGTTTTTTGGATACGCAAAATATAACGTAGGTTTTGTCGGATGCCAGATCGTTGAATGAGGCCTTTACTAATACCAACGGGTTTGCGTCTTCATTCCCAAAAACCCAGATAGATTCACCGTAAGCGTTAGCGCATGGCATTCATTGTCTTTATATTTTTATATGCTTGCACAATCCAAAGTAAGCTTTTGATAGTCGATGGACGACTGAGACTAGTCAGGAAATAATATTAACGATCAGGTTGATGAAGGTAACATCGAAGTCAACTGATGAGAAGCAGTGGCATTTAAGTGGTCACATATTATATTATTCTGGTTATTATCAGATAGGTACACTTGGGTTGACTTAATTTATTTTTTTTTAATCTCTCCAAAGCTATAATAATATTTGTCAGAGAGGATTCCCTCCTGCTAGTGGAAATTAAATGTTGCCTTTGTGTACATGCAGAGGTAGAATATCAGTTATTAAAGTCTAGTACTTGTTGTTTAAAGATGTCTAATCCCACTAATTAGAGAGCATTTTTGTCATGATAGATATTTCAAATTTTATAATGACAAGTACACGAACAAGTTTTATAATGACAAGTACACGAACAAATTTTATAATGACAAGTACACGAACAAATTTTATAATGACAAGTACACGAAAAAGGAAATTCGAGTTTGTAATGAGATTAGAAGGCTCGTTTGGTACTATTTCGCTACAAACGTACACGAACAAGTTTGTCTTTTAAGTTTATGTCAAATCTTATTACGGAATGACATCTCTAGAATTTGAATTTTTTTTTTTTTTGAACGAGCGGAGAAAAATTAAAAATCAAAAGAAAAATTTATCAAAAATCAATATATAAAAAAATATTAAAAATCTATATAAGATTCAATATATAAAATCAACTATATGGCTCTTGAGTTACGCTCATTCAAATACGATTCCACTTTTATATCTCTCACATAAATCTAAAGAGTTTTTCTTTAAATCCTCTTTCGAAACTTTATAGATCATCATTAAAAACACTCAATGTTTTATTTTTTCCTCTTTCTAAAACCTTAAAACTGAAATGTATTTATAAGAACAAACCCTAATTAATTAAGGAGTTTCAATTGAATTAGGACTCAACCAATTAATTTGAATATAATAAATACTTCTAAAAATATTTACTAATCCTAATAATCTCTACTGTGATGAGTATTTTTTTTACTTTATATTTCTAGTAGAAATTGAATTCACTATAGCCACACAAATCAAATTAGTTTATGGTCAATCTCAATAAGCCCGCTAAGCATCTCGTATAGTTGAAATCGAATCAATATTGCTACTTGATTCCAAGACCTCTGTCTTATCCTTTTATTATACAGTAAGAATTTTTTCCTCACAACCATATGCATCATAGAAATCTTGATTATCACCCTTTCTTTCTTACACTATAAATGAAGCTTACTATCATAGATATCTATCATCCTCTGCATGTGCGTGCTTCGGTATAACCCTTGTTATAATCTTTCTTTCATTATGGTCATGTAAAGCCAAGTAACTTTTAAACTCTACCTCTAGCTTTGTAGCCACAGCCATGGAACATAAGTCACATCTTCCAAAGTGTATACTATCTCATCAATCATTTTGATATTAATTTTATCGACACCCATGACCTTGATTGTAGTCATTGTGCATGCTCAACTTATTATCTTTTCATTCAATGAATCAAAATAATCTTTTTGAAAGCAAACATGAATAATACGAGTAGAATCTAAAAACCAACTCTATTGGAAAGATATATCATTATCTTTGGAAATTGTGAGGATATCTTTATCATTATCTATCATAATATAGTACTTATCGATCTCTTCTTTCTTTCTTTTTTCCAGATAATTCTACCTCCGTACTCTATACTCTTTACATTATATCATTGAATATCATGTAAAAACTTGACTTTTGATCTCAACCTATCATATTGAGGTCTACGCCTATTATAAAATCTTTCTCGTCCACTTCCATCTTTAGAAACTAATGTCTTACCATTCATATTCTTGGATTTATCTTTTTTCCCAATTGTATGAAATACTAAAGCTTCTTCATATCAATTTTTTTTAATTAATCTAATATTTCTTTTAATATGTTTATATGCTCAACCAAGTTTTTGTCTTACTCTATCCTAGCCTATGTAACTTCTACGTCAAACACAAATAATCATGAAGAAGTCATCATCAATAAATTATTGATAATATTATCAACAATGTAAAAATGAATAGTACTCGCATATTATTACCTCAAGCTCATCCTAATCTTCATCTCTTATTCTTTTTGGTTTGCTTGTTTCTCGGTTCAACGTTCTTGTTAGATCTTATTGAGCACTTGCTGAGCAATAAGATCTTTCACCCTCCTTTCATCAGGTGAAATTATTTTTTTCATCAAATTTTTTCATAGTAAAGCTAGTAGAATAACTAATCACATCCTTATTGAATATTTGATTATCAGATCTTTTGTGAGAGAAAAAAAAATTAAAAATCAAAAACCAAAAAAGAAATCTATTAGAGATCAATAAATAAATAGCATACCAAATATTGATGTAAGATTTAATGTCTTAATCTATTTAAGAAAACTAAAATTTTTAATATATTAGTTTAATTACAAGATCTTTGAGTTAGATTTATTCCCACTTAAGAACAATTTCCCTTACACATATCTTACATAAACATAAAGAATCCTTCTTTTAACCCTCTTTAGAATTTATAGAGATCACCTTTAGCATTATTCTTTCTCTCACCAAAATCTTAAGATTCCAAATATATTTATAATTAAAAATGTTTAATTAATTTAAATATAATTAAAATTTATGAAAATATTTCTCAACCCTAACCAAATCCAGTGACACTTTTGTAATACATGCGCTTCATGTGGTCGGTAGAACAAAGCTACCGAAGGTTGTAACTTGCGACACCCCTACGTAAGTTTGGATAGCGTCCGCGAGAGTCGACGAATATAAAAACAGTACGACGTGCGTATGAAGAGGACAACATCTATCTTCAATCTATAATTAACTAATGCCGCATGCTTTTTCTATATGCGCAACTATTAATGGCTGCTTTAAGCATTTTAACAACTGCCAGATCTAGCCATTAAATTATATCTAATACATCAGAGTACCGCCGATGGATACTTCAAGTGTGTGTTAGCCCGTGGTACCCCAATTGATTGATTCCTAATGATACCTATAGTCTGTCCCAATTCGATCAGATGGCTAGCCATGAGTAGGATTCTGATCATAATATAATTAGTGATAGGGCGTATTTTGGCCCTATGTGAACCATTGACAAACGCTGTAGACCGACGCAACACCGTACGCCTCCAGAACCATGGGGTGCATGCCACGTCAAGCTCCAACGGTGTGACTGTGCGGCCTAACCACCCCAAGGGCTGGGGGCGGTGCCGTCTGCTGTTAGGGCAGTGCCGTCTGACGTCGCTCAAGCACCCCCGAAGATGCCACCTCGTTAGAGAGGTTGTTCCGCCCCTAGAGTCAATGGCCATGCCGGACCAGGGCCCGACTAATTCCTGCACGCAGGTATAAATACCCCCGACCTGATCCAAGAAAAAGGGAGGGGGGAGAAAAATCAATCGATTACTCCACTGACTTGCTCGTCGGAGGGGCCTCGTCGGGTGATCCCGACGAAGGCCATTTTTGAAGGAAAATACGGCCATCTCACGAAGATGAGCTGCCAACCACTCCGGAGAAGGAGAGACACAGCATGGCATACATAGCGCCTGGATCAGCACACAAAGGAATGCTGATCAGCACCCCGTCGTGAGGGCCCAGTCGACCTTGGCATCCAGCTCAGCTGGTAGAAGACTACCGACATTGACCGTGGACCAGGCCGTGCTGACTCATCAACCACGACACATTTGTTCATTAACATTTTGGCGCTAGAAGGAGGGCCATGTCGCGGGAGCATCTGATAGGAATTCTCCCCGAGGGAGAACCACCGACCGGCCTCCCTTCCGTCGAACCCAAAAGTAACGACTGACTCATCAATAGCGTCCAGACTCATCGTCGGGTCAACCAGCTTAGGGGCATCTCCGTATTGAAGCTCCTGCCCGAGCCTCTCCAGATCGGTTCTCGACCAGCAGTTCGTCGACCCAGCTCTTGCCCGAGCCTCTCCAGATTGGTTCTCGACCAGCAGTTCGCCGACCCAGCTCTTGTCCGAGCCTCTCCAGATCGGTTCCCAACCTACGGCTCGCCGGCCAAGCTCCTACCCGAGCCTATCCAGATTGGTTCCTGACCTACGGCTTGCCGACCCAGCTTTTGCCCGAGCCTCTCCAAACCGGTTCTCGACATGCGGCTCGCCGACCTAGCTCCTGCCCGAGCCTCTCCAGATCGGTTCTCGACCTGCACCTCGCCGGCCCAGCTCGTGCCCGAGCCTCTCCAGATCGGTTCCCGACCTACGATTCGCCGGCCCAGCTCCTGCTCAAGTCTCTCCAGATCAGTTCCCGACCTACGGCTCGCCGACCCAACTTTTGCCCAAGCCTCTCCAGACCGGTTCCTGACCTACGGCTCGCCAGCCCAGCTCTTGCCCGAGCCTCTCCAGATCGATTCCTGACCTGCGCCTCGCCGACCCAACTCCTACCCGAGCCTCTCCAGATCGGTTCCCGACCTATGGCTCGCCGGCCCAGCTCCTACCCAAGCCTCTCCAGATTGGTTCCCGACCTACGGTTCGCTGGCCCAGCTCTTGCCCGAGCCTCTCTAGATCGGTTCTCGACCTATGGCTCGTCGGCCCAGCTCCTACCTGAGCCTCTCTAGATCGATTCCTGACCTACGGCTCGTCAGCCCAGCTCCTGCCCGAGCTTCTCCAAATC